AGAAGTGCTAACGGTATTTTATTTTAATGTCTACTTAAATAAATAATACTAATATGTACAATACTGTAGTAATATTTTAATATTTATAACACACAATGGAACGTTCTTAACCTCTTAAGAACGTCCACTCTCGACAAAGGACTCGTGTAGACTGTGTGCCAGATTGTTTTTCTGGCACGTTATACAAGAATGAATAGAAAATAAGCTCGAAAGGAAGTACATTATTGTTTAAAAATTCGAAATTTTGTTATTAAATCACTGTAAAAAAATAAATTTGTAAGTTAATTATGTATAAATATCTCTTAAGTGCCACTTAACTTTCATGATATATTATTGCTATAATTGCTTGTAAGTACTTCGATGTGTTAAAGATATAAATAAATCTTTCTTAGTGTACAGTTTCTTGAATTATTTACGGAACTCAACCATTAAATATTGTTAATTTTCACAGTTCTTAGCATAATTTGTATAAAGTATATGAGATATAATCCATGTCAACATCAGAAGGTGGATTTTTTACTCATGTGTAGAAATGTTAGTATGGAAAGACACAATTTTCTTTACTCAAAGCTTAATATTTCTTGTGCTTTTTATCAAAATTTTCTAAAATTTCACACGGAGGTTTCTGTGTTAGGAGCATTAATGCTGTTTAATTTTAGTGGTGAAAGGTCAAGAAGGTGAGGAGATAGTGGGGGTTACGTGTAATATCTCGAGTAGCTTGTTATTAGCATTTACAATTTCTTTTATCATCTCTATACTCAAAATAACGTGACTTTCGATTGGATAGAAAATTGCTCTATAGTTAATCTTTGCTTCATCTGTTTTGTAGATTAAGGAAGATCATACAGCGAGAATTTATAAGTCTACAATTTTTTTTTCAAATTGAAGCCCAATAACAAGTAAAATGTTCATTGAGTCTCACCCTACTGAAGATAGGACACGTGAACTCCCCTTTCGTCAACCCCGTTGACATTTAACCACAGAAATTAATACAGTGTATTAAAAAACACTGTATCATTGGACTAGGGAGGTTATGTGACATTACAGAAGCTTGTTATGCGTTTGGAAACTTGATTTAGTGATTACAATTAAAAGTGTAATAATAATGTAAAATAAATAACCTTTATGTACTGTACATGTCCTATATTTGATGATAGTAGAGCTCTAACACTACAGATTTGTACAATTTAATTGTTCAGATATACACACCTCTTTGTAGTAGATGGAATGCAGATTTCTCAGACAATAAATTAGTCGTTGACCTTCTGGATGAGAGAATTGTATTAGTAAATTCTTCTTCCATTAACTACCTATCGTCTTTAAATACCAAAAGAACAGACAAACAAACAGACACAGTTTTTTTTTTTATTTACAAAATAAAATTATTAGAAAAAGACGTAAATTCTAAAGGGAGAAAATTGAATAAATTATATTTAATTTTTAGGTTTTTTTATATTAATATATACTTCATCTTTTAACCATTTTATGTATGTTAAATTCTAATAAGAAGTATTGAAATATATTGTATAAATTGCTATAGAGGAGACATTATAATATGTCAGAAACGTAATAATTAAAGGCACTTGTTTAGTCTTGTGTAACTCCCTTCATTTATCATCACTACTAACAATACACGGGTGTGTCGTGTTCGTAGCGCCATCTGGACGTTAAAATTCAAACTAAATATAATAAAAAGTGAATTCGTTTTGTTCACTTTAACGTCATTATCACTCTTTCTCCTAATAAAACTGCAAGAATGACGTAAAATTGATGTAATAGCTTACATTATTCGGACAAAACTAATGTGCATTACTGTAAACAGAGGAAATTTAAACTAATTTATCATTTTTCTTCATAAATTAAAGATAATTTTAATAATTTCAGCAAGAAAAATCCCATTAACTCCGATTATTTAAGAATTAAAATTTAATTTGTTTATGTTACTTCCTCTGTTTATACGTCGAACACCGCCTTAGGTTATGTAAATACGTTGTTGTAGATGTAAAAAAAAAAATATATATATATACAAAATTCACTTTAAAATGTATCGATTTAACTCAAAATAATGTGTATTTTATAAAAATTATAATTTTGAGTAAAAGAATTAATTGTTTAAAATCTATATAATAATATATGCTACAATTCACAGTCTCTATAGAAATTATTTCAACATAATTTCGAATTAAATTATTGATTAATTAATAAATATAAAAGAAATTTAAATTAATTTATTTAATTTTTATCATTGTTTATTTAACAGAATCTAAATTAATCATGTACAGGTTAACCAACTCGCATAATCAACCCGCCTACACTCTGATTTAATCTTTAATTAAAGTCGTAATTTCTAAGTAAAATAGTCATTTCTTTACGTTAATTTAAAAAAAGTGTATTGAAATAATCATTAAATTTAATTGAAATTTAAAAATTTAATACTTTTATAATGATTAAATTCCTAAAAACATTAACAAATAGTAAGTGTGTAACAAGACTTTCCATACTATTACAGTTTACTTTTTTACCTAAAGAGAGACCCAGAGGGCTTAAACCTCTTAAACTTGTAATAAATTAAGAAATTTAAATGTTACAACATTACTTATATACAATATTTAAGAGTCTATTCTTAATTCACAGTAGTACAGGGATGACTCTTGGTTTGTACGTTCTAAATTGAGTATACCTAATATCTCTTCTAGTTACGTTGTCTTCACCTTTTTTTAACATTAAATGCTATAGTTTTTGCCGTGTTATTGTTATTTTTAAATAGGATTATTAATGTAGAATTATATCTGATGGTGGCTACTTTATCTTCATTGTGTTTGTTGTATTCTCCCATCCTGCTGGAGATTCATCCATTTTGACGCTATCCAGATATTTTTGAGTAAAGTATTAATTTGTAGCTTCCTGCAAACAGTTTTGACAAGAAACATTTCTATATTATAGCTGTCATTAGTTGTTAAAGTGGGTGAACGAAGTCGTTCCCCCCCCCACAAACAGACATAAACACACAATAACACCCAAGCATAAATATTTAAACAACAACGTTTTTAAAGATATTCATAATAATTTAACATTATTTAACATAATAATGACATTAAACATTGTTCTGAGAACAATTTAAATGGAAACTTTTTAAAGTTAGTTTCTACTTTCGATCGTTGGATAGTAAAATTAATTACTTTCTCTGTTACTAATGATAGAAACAGCTCTTATGTAAATGAATTTTAAGGTCATTTAAAATAGAGTAAGATTGAAAAGTTTAAATATAACTTGCCAAGAATTCATTCTAATAAAGTTTTAAACATTTTAAAAACTTCAGAGAGAAAAAGTAATTTTTAAAAATATTTTTAATTGGTAACTCGTCTTAAAAGTAAAAATAAAAGCATTAAGATAACAACAAGAATGACCTCAAGAAATAAAGAAAAAAGAAAGATTAAGTAACATATGAGCACCCTTATACGAAGTTGATACGAGGAAAATTCTCCTCAATAAAAGGTGCAAAATTCAGCTTAATTCCAAAAACAGTATGGAGACATATAAACACGTGTAAACACTAAGTATTGATATAAAATATATAAACGTTCCCTATGATCGTTCAGTAGTTAAAACATTGTAGTGCTGAATCATCACCAAATAAAGCTGCATCATTTGTACAATTACTTTCGACGAAGCTAAGTGTTAGAAAGACCGATTACCTCATGTGGAAGATGAAAACTTCCACTAAATCCACAGCATCATCCATCATGAATTCCTTCGAGTGTATGGAGTATTCATCATCTTCAAGATGATGAATACTCCATACAACTTGATGAATGTATGAATACTCCATACATTCTTGAAGTCCGTATTCCAAGCCAACAATCTTCATTTTTATGTTCAAGTCCACAATCATCCAAGAAAAAATAATCTTCTGCATTGGCGCAGGTTGTTATTTGCTAATTGAACCTTGCAATTTGACAGTATAATCAACGTTGAAAGGATTCTTCTAAGATTATCACACGGATAGGAAGAGGAAGATGAAGAAGAGTGTTAGGATAAGGCACGTGTAATCTGCCAAAGGAAAATACATCTCGGAAGGACATTTAATGGGAAAATGGCACCTATTTGGGTGCTAATTTATAGAGAATTATGACAGCATCAGTTTACAAAAATGAATTATTAATTAATTCTCTTAAAGTGCATTTTTTAATGGGTACGAGAATTAAATACACCTGCTACTTATCGACATCCTTCACTATAATGATCTAAAGTGTCAGAATTATCTAAAATATTACACTGTTTATTGATATAATTAAATATAATTGAATTACAAATTTTAATCATTTCTAATGTAAAAATAAAAACACTTATATCGTATTTAAACTTTTACAATTAACCTCCATATATAGTATTTTTCAGCATATAGGGCGTAGTTTTTTTTTAAAAATTCTTGTGAGAAATAAGGAGGCGCATTATACATGGGAAGTAACATAACTTTTTCTTTTGTGTATTTCACTTCAACTAAATAACTGAAACAATTCAAATTAAAATATTTTATTAAAATTTTATATCTAAATGATAATGGCAACAGTAAAAGAATGATCACTGTGTAATTATTATGCACTGATGTTTCATTTTGCCATAAGCAGTATAATTGGTATAATTTGATAGATTAGTTAATAAAATAAATTTCAGTGTTTTATATATCAACGTTTAACAGTACGATTATACGTTAATTCTATTACAAAAGCTACAATAGAAAATCCATATCCGGCCTCGAGAAGAATTAAACAACTTAAGACGTCGTCAATAGATAAAGGATGAAAATTGTCTTTAGCAATTTCTTTTGTAGACGGTGGAATAATCTCTGTCACCAACTTCTCGATAATACCGGTGTCTCTCATCCATCCAAATCTAAAAATAAGCAAGAAAAATATGTATATGTAACATATTACTTTTCATGTAAGAAATTAGGATCGTTAGAATTATAAGAAGAAGAAGAAGAAGGCATAGCTGATTTTATGGCTGAAATATGTAATGACACGTTGCATGAAAAACATTTGTCATGTATTGAAAGAAATTGTATAGTGTCAGTGTCTATAAGCAAACAACAAAATGTATCGACAAATCAAACTACATTTTGCGTTTCTTACACAATATAATTTTTTATTATTAAATAAACACGAAAAAAATATTCGTATGCTTTGAGCGTCATAACTACTCATAAAATTTCCTTAGAAATCGTAAAAAAAATAATAAAGATTAATAATACTTTTACGTTCCTGGCTGTTATACATAACAGAGGGCAAGTATAGCGATTGGTCAAAAAATGAGTTACAAGACCTTTACATTTTTGGATTTAGGACACCTTAAAACATCAAAAAATGCGAAAAAAGTTTATGTGCTTTTTCTATATCAGTGAACGTTAGTGTATGTGTGTGTGTTTGTGTGTGGGTGTGGGGGAAAAGAATCATTTGATTCACTGTTTCGAAGCCTAATAACTCATGTGCTTTTCGTCGAAAATTTATGAACATTTGTAGGGAGATATAACCATTAAAAAGTGGATGGTGGGGTGATGGATGTAGCCACCCCGCGGATATTATGTTGTTTTTTGTTATTTTCATATTTATGTTTTATAAATTTATTATTGTTTGAATACTCCATAATTTAATTATATCTAGCTTTTTTTATACGTTTTTTTCTACAACTGTAATTACTTAAATTATTAATAAACTAGCAGGTGGGCCCGGCGTTGCTCGGGCAAAAGTAACGATGAACAATGAACAGCTCAAGAAAAAGATTATGAAGAAGTAAAGGAAAAATATATTCAAGCACGATCCAAATTATCATCATTAATCGACGAAAAGGCTCCAATAACAGAGGCATCAACACAGGCATCACCGAGACAGTCGAATGCATCATTTGAAGGGCAGGCAATCTCCGCGTCGATAAAATTACCAAAAATTGAACTACCAACATTTGACGGAGATTATTTAGAATGGATCAAGTTCAAAGACTTATTTTCAGCAATAGTGCATAACAATGCAACTTTAACAAACGCACAAAAACTTCATTACCTTAAATCAGTTTTAAAGGGAGAAGCTGAACAACTCCTACACTCCATTGAAGTCAGTGATGGTAATTATACAGAAGCATGGAAGATACTGCAAGATAGATATGAAAATGAACGACAGATTATTAACAGTCATCTTAAGGCTCTTTTTCAACAGCCACGTGCAAGGACTGATTCGGCGAGTGAAATCAAACGACTGCTAGACACTACTGTAAAACATGTCAGAGCATTAGCAGTGTTAAAATTGCCGACAGATCATTGGGATCACATTTTGGTTTATACATTAAGCAACAAACTCGATGATGAAACAAGAAAACAGTGGGAATTAAAGGCTACAACGACTACATTTCCTACATTCAATGAGTTGAAGCAATTTCTGGAGCAGAGATATCGTGCTCTAGAGATTTCCGTGAGCAATATGTGGAAACAAAGAACACAACAAAACATAGGAAAACTATCAAATACACTCAAAGCTCATAGTGTGACCGTTTTAAGTTGCCCAGTTTGCAAGGAGGCACATCATGTTTTTTACTGTCCAGCGTTCCAGAAACAGAACGTGAAAACTCGTAAGGTCACTATCAAGAATGCTGGACTCTGTTTTAACTGTTTTAAGGGTAATCACTCAGTGAAAGACTGTAAATCTACATCTACATGCAAGCATTGTCGTAAGAAACATAACACCATGCTACATGAAGACGAATCTCCCGCTCAAGTTTCAGCATCAAACGCAGCATCTTCTTGTATAACAGCGAATTGCAACACTGGTAAAGTGATCATTACAAACCACGCATCTGAAACTCAACAAAAAACTGTCTTGTTAGCGACAGCAGTCATGTGATTGACTCGTTTGGAACCAAACATCAAGTTAGATTACTACTAGATAATGGATCGCAGTCATCATTTGTTAGTGAAGCGTTTGTACAAAGAACAAGATTGCCGCGAGAAACTGGAAAATTAAGAGTTATAGGTCTGGGTCAAACAGATTTTGGAGTTACGAAGGATATAGTGAAACTACAACATCAGTCGATATATGACCAGTTCTCTTCGCAAATTAACGCATTCGTATTGCCGAAATTTACAGGTATTCTCCCAGCAGTAAAGGTTAACATTTCAGACTGGAAGCATATTAAGAATATAGATCTAGCAGACTCAGCATTCAACAAGCCTCGTGAAATAGACATTCTATTAGGAGCAGATTATTATCATGATGTCTTAACATACACGCCAATAGTGAAGGAGTCAAACTGTCCTTATTTACAGCTTACAAAGTTTGGATGGGTAGTCTCTTGTCCTGTGGGTCAGCAACTTGAAGACAAGGTGATTTGCAACTTTGTTACGTGTAACACAGATAAAATACTAAAACAATTTTGGGAAATCGAAGAGGTAGAAGCTACACAAAAAATGTCGGCAGAAGAAACAAAATGTGAAGAACATTTTCAAAAAACTCATCGAAGACAAGAAACTGGACGCTATTCAGTCTCATTTCCCTTTAGGGAAGAAAGACCAACGTTAGGAGACTCCAAGCAAATGGCATTCGTCGGCTTCAGGCATTAGAAAGAAGACTAGAAAAAGATCCATATATTCGTACTCAAAACAATGATTTCATGAAGGAGTATGAAGATAAATACCACATGTCTGAAGTCTCAACTACTGAAGAGTGTTACCATATACCTCATCATTGCGTCCTACGAGAAAGCAGCGAAACCACGAAGCTCCGTGTAGTTTTTGACGCCTCAGCCAAGTCATCGAACAATAAATCACTAAATGAACAAATCTGTGTGGGACCTAAAATCCAAGATGATATATTTGAAATCTTGCTTCGTTTCCGTGCGTGGAAGATTGCTATATCGGCAGACATAGAAAAGATGTTCAGACAGATATCTATGAACAATGAAGACAGAAAATGACAACGCATTTTGTGGAGATCATCACCAGAATTGCCAGTGAAAGAATATGAACTGAACACAGTAACGTATGGTACCACATCTGGTCCATATTTAGCTACAAGGACCTTGAAACAACTGTTGATCGATGAAAGAGAACATTTTCCTGAAGCGTCGACCGTGGTTGAACGTGACTTCTACGTGGACGATTTAATGACAGGTAGAGACGAAGGCCAGGAGGCAGTTTATTTGTGTCAACAGCTTACAGAGATGCTAAATAAAGGACGATTTTATCTTCGCAGGTTGATTTCAAATGACAGGACAGTGATATCAGAGTTACAACAATCTGAGAGTACTGACAATCATCAAATTAAGATATCTGACATAACGAAGGCCTTAGGTCTTAATTGGAACACTAAAGAAGATATATTTTACTTCGTGTTGTGTAAATTTTCTAGTCAACCACCTATAAACGTACTGTAATTTCAGACATCGCACGACTATTTGATCCATTGGGTTGGTTAGCACCAGTCACAATCAAGGCCAAAATGATGCTCCAACGCCTTTGGACAATTGGAACAACATGGGATGAATTGCTACCTACAGTCATTGCAGAACAAAAATGAACTTCAAACATTAACAGAAATAAAAATACCACGTTGTGCTAGTGACGGAAAATGCAAATATCTTCAAATATATAAATAGACTGCAGAATGCAAATATCAGTTTTGATGCAAAACATCCACTACTGTTACCAGAGAAACACCACCTCACAAAAATCGTCGTACAATATTTTCACAAGTTGCTACTTCATCCGTGCATTAATCTTTTGATAGCTCAAATTCGACAACTATTCTGGATTCCGCATACTCGAACTTCAGTAAAAAGGTATACTAAAGACTGTATGGCTTGTTTTCGAGATCTAGCTTCGGAAGAAAGTCAACAAATGAGTGTCCTTTCACAATATCGTGTTCAACAACTGCGACCTTTTTCGAAGATTGGAATAGATTACGCAGGACCATTTCCTATTAAGGTGTCACATGGAAGAACAACAAAACACTGGAAATCATATTTAGCGTTATTTATCTGTATGGCTACAAAAGCAGTCCATCTTGAAGTCGTAAGTGANAAATGTGAATTCTTTTTCCTGGAAAAAATAAGACATTCCCTGAAAATAAGACCTAGCGCATTTTTCAGAGCAAAAATTAATATAAGACACTGTCTTATTTTCGGGGAAACACGGTAGGACAGTTAACTCCAACAGAAAGAAAACATTCAGGGATCTGCGTTGTACGATATGTACAGCAGGTTTGCTTTAGAGATGTTTTTGAAGCAATTAAAACAAATAACTCAAAGCACAGATTACGCGCACTCGCACCATTTGTTGATGAGCAGTGCTGTCTTCGAGTTGGAGGTAGACCACAGAATGCAAATATCAGTTTTGATGCAAAACATCCACTACTGTTACCAAAGAAACACCACCTCACAAAAATCATCGTGCACTATTTTCACAAGTTGCTGCTTCATCCGAGCGTTAATAGTTCAAATTTGATAGCTCAAATTTGACAACTGTTCTGGATTCCGCATACTCGAACTTCAGTAAAGAGGTATACTAAAGACTGTATGGCTTGTTTTCGAGATTCGAGAAGAAAATCAACGAATGGGTGTCCTTCCACAATATCGTGTTCAGCAATTGCGACCTTTTTCGAAAATTGGAATAGATTACGCAGGACCATTTCCTATTAAGGTGGCATATGGAAGAACAACAAAACAATGGAAATCATATTTAGCGTTATTTATCTGTATAGCTACAAAAGCAGTCCATCTTGAAGTCGCAACTTCAAGATCGCAACTTCAAGATGCGACTTCATTCGCGCTCATATACACCACTAATATCCAATAGAACTATTTTAAACAGGTCGCTGCACTATCGCGGAATTTCACTGCTTGTTCTGTGACAAAACTGAATTTTGGTCTTTTAAATTGAAATACCTAAATAAGGGGAGGCCGAAATTTTCCTCCGCCCCGGGCGGCTGATACCCACGGTACGCCACTGCATTTGGGGCTTATTATAATTAGAATATCTATGAAAATATCTTTTGACTACGACAGTAGACTATTACAAATCAACCTAGCAGTTTACAAACCAACATTATTAATATGTATGCATAAAAATGCCAGAAACAAGTATCTATTACAGGGTCTAACTGTACCCAGCGTTATACCCCGTTCGCACCGACCATTTCAAGCTAGATTGTGACGAAGGTTAGCGACTATGCCTTGGTGCGACCTCTCTCGATCGTTTCAATCTCGACTGAAACAAAATTCAATCGCGATCGACTCAAGAGAGTTCTCGAAACTAGATCCAGTCATAAGAAATATCCCATAATCCCACGCGCGCGAGAAAATGCGGAGAAACAAGATGGCTGCGGAACACGTGTCGGGCTATCAAAAAAGAAATAAAAAATATATTATATTTGGAGAAACGATAACATCTGTCTATTATTAGATATATGGCAAGAAAAAGTACTGTATTTATTTCTAACCAAAACTTCCATTTTGTTTGTTGGTGTTCTTGACTTGTCGCATAGTTATGTCAGTTTTATCATCGCGTGTAATAGCTGGGTTCTTCTAGGGCGGATGTCTGTGGGAACAGCACGACGTTCGACTGGTGATAGTCATAATCGAGATTGTAGGAAAATCGAGATCGAAGAGATCGAAGTGAGTCGTGAATTGTGTGTGAACGGGGTATTAGGGCCTCAAACATTTGTACAAAAAAGAAAATTGAAGTCAAATTTTGTAATAAACATTTTTTACAAACCAACAAAATATACGTTACTTTTTATTTTGTGTAGTATTTCATTAAAATTTTTTTCTAAGAATTAACATAAGATCTTTTTAAAAAATTGATAAAACCAATTTTAAAAAAGATTTTTAAGAGAACGGATATAAAAATTTAATTACAGTTATAAAACAGAAGACTAGTGAAACCTCGTGTCTTTTTCTTTCAATATCCATATTAAATCAGAGACAGTATGATTTAATTCTTTTCTTTTTATGATTGACTTCTAAAATTGTAAAGAGTTGGTAAGGGATCTTATAGAGTTCAGCTTAGGGCTTCTAAATGCTTAAATCCGACCCTGTGTCCCACTCAAATTTACTGGCATTTTAAACTTAAAATATGTTTTAAATTTGATAGCATAATTTGTTCGTGTAAAGCTGGACAATCGGGAAACTACCAATTCTTAAGTCTAATTCACTCTTTTGGAATTTGGAGAAGCTCATAAATATAACCGACCGATTTCCGAATAATCATCTGTTTTTCGTGTGGGAATAAACGAAAACTTATACAGTAGAGCCTCGAAAACTCGGCACTCGATAACCCGGCACTCCGGATAACTCGGTCACACCCTGGCAGGGCAAAAAAATCCTTAGTTAATTAATTTTCATTATAGACAGCTTTATGCCTCATAAAGTATTTTTCTGGAATCTGTTTTATCAGGTAAATTACTGTACACAGTAATTTACCTGATAATGACTTGTATTCATTGTGTATTCATTAATTTTCATTTTCATGTAGTAAAGGCTCTATGCCTTCATAAAGGTCGTACTTTTCCTTTGTTTAAGGGTATTTGGGCAGTTTATACTCTGTTGTATTCTCAAGTAAACAATACATACAAATACAGTACAGTATTTTCTGAGGAAACACTCATACTTAGTTTTTTAACCCCATTCCCGATAACCCGGCATTTTCACAAACTCGGCCTCCCTTCGGTCCACATTAGGCCGAGTTTTCGAGGCTCTACTGTATCAGACTCCGTAAGGCTTTGATATTGTAATTTGGAACGCAACAGAAAGCTTTACTTTTTCTATTGTTATTCATTTTTACTGTTGATAATAAACAAGAATGAATCAAATGACCCAGATAGAATAGTGTTGTCTTTAAACACCACAGGGCGAGCATCCGGTGAAAAATGCGAATTGCTAAAAATTACCTTCAGGTGTCCAGATTGGTTCAGGAGATTTTAAAGTGGTGAGAGCCATATCTCTCGAACCAATGGTCCAATTTACCGGGAAAATTCTGGAAACATTCATCTCTCATATGTAAACCACTCTGCAAAACCTCAGAAATTTTTGACAAAAAACACAGGAGTTATTAAGCTTAAAATTGAATAAACAAAATAGTGTTCCCATACACTAACATATGAATACAAGAAAAAAACAACTTTTTTGCATTTCTAACTGTTTTAAGGTCCACTGAATTAAAACATGAAAAATTCCTGTAGGTCAGCCTAGTATATTGTGCAACACGAAATTTCTTACCATATTATGATATATGAGATTAGCCTTAGAGAATTAGAAATCACTTTAGTATAAAGTGATTTTCTAAGTCCATTTTGGTGTCTTATGGTGGTTTAATAGGTATAGCAATAAAGAAAGCAATTTAGTGCTCACAAGTAAATACAATGAATAAACAAGAAGAGTGTCATAATAGAAAGTCTTCCAGTGAAGAATCCTCCTTGGCACATCGTCCAACAGTTTCATGGAGTATCCAATCAATCCTAACCAAATCATTAAAAACGACTTCTGTCAAACTTTGAAACTTGAAAGAATTTACTAGGAATTTTTTGAAAACATCTACAAAATTCCATTCAGTAATACAGGTTTAAAAAATTCTATATGAAATTTTACGAGTATTTTGAATTTGAAATCACGTGGCACGTATGCAGCTTATGAAACAACAAGTTATGTCATTGGTCTTGTTAATGTTTATTTCTTTTCCGTAGCGTTTTAATGTAAATTACCAAATATATGGGAAATTTTCTGCTATTTCAATGATAATCGATAAATTTCTTTTTTAACAAACAAAACCAGAGTAGAATGAATGATAAATACTTAAATGCACTTGCAAGGATATTCTAAATTTAGAATTAAAGATCGAGGAGTATTGTGTTCATCGTGCAATTCGATCCGTATTGATTCATGTTGTTATGTAAGGTACTGCGTGTAATAGCATATATAATAGCATTATTACAACAGTATTCATAGCTGTATAGCATCATCTACTTTGATCTTACAGTAGTCGTCGGTTTAATTAACAATTTATACAATTATTAATAAATAATTATGAATAACAAACCGGTGCAAATTTACTGCTTAAAATTCTTCTTGAAGCCATGCTTGGATGCAGCATTCATTTTTGCAGTCGACCCGTTTTCTACTTGTCAATGCGAAAGTCACAAAAACAGAAACACATTCCGTAATTTTATGAAATTTGCTTATTTATGGTTAATTGAAATAGTACTATGGGAGCATTTTATAATTTTGTGGATGAACCTAATTCCATACGTGAAAGATTTTGCTTTATGCACAGGATGGTTTAAATTTCTCAAAACTGGTGCCACGCTGTTTAAATTTGCAGTTGCACTTCTTGCGATTTCTTGCAATTTTCTTATTCGGTATTTTAGAAGTAGAAAGCTGGACCCAGTAATACATTCTGAACAAGTTCTGTGTTTTCAGAAAAGTGAAATTAAAGAAATTCATTCTTTCATTCACAATTTTCACACGAAATTAATCTGTGCTATTTCATTGTTCATCGTTTGCTTTCAGTTACTAAACGTCTTCTACATGTTCCCTAATTTGAGATCAAGAGAATTGTTTTATGGTGAAGCTCTGTTTTGCAGTATAGAAGGCGGATTGCTGACAATCATTTGTTGTGGATTTTTTGCGTATGTACTCTATTTAGGAGGAATGTTCCTGTGGATTACAAAGAGAGGCTTCTTGAGTATCTCAGAAGAATTGTCTTCGATAAAAATGAACGATTATAACTTAAAACCTAAACTGAAAGGCCTGATTAATAAACATGCCGCTCTGTGGGAAATTGTTGAACAACTGAACAGTAAAATAAATTACCCATTTGTAGCATTATACATTACTCTTACATCAGGAACAAGTTTTTGTTATTACACTTTTCTATTCTTGCATATGAATGACGAATTTCGATATATGATGTTAGGAGTTGTCGTTTTAGTTACAGTTGCATGTATATTGTATGGTTTTCTGCTGTGCTCATTTACTTTTTCCGTAAGTTTTAGAATATAAATTTAAACTCTTCATTTAATAAAGTTGGATAAAGTTTGTTTTTAAAGTTTAAATGTGTACCATAAAAATTTAAACAAGATAAATTTTTATGGTACACATTTTTATGTTTGTAAATGCATGTCGACCATGCGTGAATATCATCCCTAATTAAGATAAACGAGCAACGAGTTTCTCAAAATCCTGGCAACATTTATAATTCTGGAGGTATCATCTGTTAAATATTTTATTAAAAACATTTTATATTTTTAAAACGACAAAAAGCTTTCTTTAGGGAATGGATGAGTTTTACAAAAAAAAGGTTCTAAATGCTAATAACAAATAAAATCGTTATCATTAATAAATCCGACCCTACTGGAGATAATCACGACCTTCATTATCTTCCCACTCCCTCGACCTTTAACTACCAAAATTTAACAGCATCAATCCCCTAATCGCCCTGAAAGATTTCTAAAATTTTTCACAAAAAGCACAGGAATTATTAAAATTCAAACAGGATGAACAAAATCCTTACACCCACACACAGAAATTACCCCCAATTTTTTTTCGACGTTTGAAGGTGACCTAAGTTCAAGAATATAAAAATTTTGGGGTTGTCATTTTTTGACTGATCGCCATACTTTCCCTCTGTTATATATAACAGCTGAAAAAAAAAAACAATCATTTAAATGCAAGTAATGGAGTTAATTCATTAGCCTAGTGTCCAGGGGCAAGGAATCGAATCCGGAACTAGCAACTTTCCAGCAATTCTTCATGGGCAGTCTGGCCCGAATATATCAATTCTTCTCTCATTTCATCATGCTATTACATTGGAGGTCCCACCAAATACGCGAAGAGTATGATTTAAAAGTCCCTCTTCGTCCTTGATCGAGTGGATGGATATAACTACTAATATCTGATGATTATTCCGTGTTCGCATCTTACCAAAGGCTTGCTAGGTATGCACATCCTACTTCGAGCCGGGGTAACATCCTCTCAGTAGATGATTATTCATATGTACTTGCCCTATCCAATCAAATCAAACCAAATCCACTTAAAGTCTAAAATGCCAAAATAGTTAAAAATTAAAAAAGAAAATAATGGGGCAAGGAATAGGCAAACGGGAAAGCTGAAAAACTTTATCTAATTTTTAAAATTAAGCAGTAAATTTCCTGGTGCAAATAATTTGTTGAACTTTAACGTATTCTTCACTCAATAGATGCAGAACTCCTTTCAAGACATTCGAAGATTTGCCACTTCAAATCTACAGCTCGAACTTAAGTTAAACGTAAGTAAATCTTTGCTACATTTCATTAAGATAAAACATGAATAATGATTTTTCTATTGTCAAGATACTAGATTTCATGAAACGATTTGGTAAAGTTTCAATAAGAATTTCAGTCGGAGGATTCTTCTTTGTAACAAAAAGATTTCCTCTTAGGGTAATTTTATATAATTAAATTTTTATTGACAGTTTCTTAAAGTGGAAAAGTAAGTAGATCCATTTTCAGATGGCCAGTTCTCTTCACACCGTGTTCTCAGGGCTCCTGAAATTGAGAAGTGTGTCCTACGAAGGCAAAATGTGTAATGAAATGTTAAACGAAAATAGCATACTTTTGTAAGAAAGCATTAAGAGTAATAAAGAAAGTATGTTCTTTAATTGCATATATTCCACTCATATCATTGTATGGTACTCAAATTATGAATGCTCATACTATTTTATTTTAGAAGTTTTCTTAGTTGTTACGGCCTCTTCTACGTGAATGAAGAATCAGCATCAGAAGCTTTGCAAAAATTACATAAAAGGTGAAAAGAAAACTTAAAAGGAGGAAAAAATCTCATCATACGTGCTAAGTTACTAAATCACGTCGATTGATTTTTGAAGAAATTAATAGTTTGGACGAAGTGAATGCTATCATTAATAGAATTCTGTACAAGTGCTTTGGGATTAGGAAAAGGCAATCTGGCATCACAAAAAGCTATTGGGCTCTAGCAGTAATTATGAAAGATACAAGATAGTTTTGTATTCCTTTATCCTATAAACGGCATAACCTTCGTGGTGTCATGATTCTGTATCCATACAAATTGCAATCACCACACCATATTTCACCGGCAGATACTGCTTAGAAATTAACATTAGCAACGCGAGCTTTATTTAAAACTGCACAAGAACCACAGGGTTTTGGACAGATGAATCCCACCTTTCGTTGCATGGAGTAATGAACACACACAGATGCTGTATATTGGCATTTACTAATGACTGTGCGTTTCGGGTAATTTGGTAGGAGGTGCAGTCTCACAGCTTGCTAAATTATATAGCAATTATTTATACTTAATATTAAATACCTTAATGGGATCCATAAAAACCACTCGGAAGACATTTTTCACTTCGCCGATTGTATAATACCATCACTCCAATCTAAATTATGCGTAGTAAATTTTGTTATTCAGTTTTAGTATGATTAATAATTTTCTATAAAAAATAAATATTTTATTTATTTATTTTTTAAGCAAATGCATTTGATTAGAATATTTCCTTTAAATTTTCAGCTGCTTAGCATTTTTCAGGTTGTAAAGGTAAAATTTAGACATTTTGAAAGAAACTTATTGATAATTAAGTGACCAAAGATTAAGTTTACCCTGGCAGGTAATCACTATCAATATTAATCACATCTTGCCAACTTTGCAGCAAACTTTCAATCCCTTCAGCATAGAATGACTTACGGTTTTCTTTGAAAGAAGTTACAAGCTTCAGATATTGTCATTGAAATGTATATTGACAGTGTAGTTGTGCAGTGCGAGAAGTAGACGGCAGTTAGTTGACACCAGGTCTTGGCTGTAAGTTGATGACGCTAAACCTCCTGGCCCAGACTAACAAGCTTTTCTAAGATCAACGTTGCTGTACATGTTTGCGCATTGCATGATGGTATTGGACACACACAATTTTTAAAATGTATTGGAACACTCGAGTATGCTTATTCTCTGATGGTCAACCAAGGGTTAGCGTCTCAGTTGCAGGAGTACGTCGTCATTAATCGCGGAATCGCTGCTGGATCTTGAAGCCAGAAACTTCCATTCTTGAACTTTTGAAATCAATCGAAAGTCTGCTTGTTGACTATGCTTTCTCCAAATGCTTTTCAGATAAGATGTTTAGGCTTCGTTGCATTGTGGCTTCTTTGAAGTGTTGGAGAAATAGCCTGCGAATGGAATTTTTCGAAAGTTTCATATTCTCAAATGTTGCTGATGCATGTATTTTCTAAAATTTGTAATAAAATTCTCTTTAGTTAGTCCGCATTGAACGTTCTGGAATGGAGCATTTTTTCTAGTCACTTTTAGACAAAAACAAAATGTCAAAATTTTACCTTTTTAACCTGATAAATAAGTACAGTTAGTTTCATATATTTAAATACAAACACATCCTGTGACAATAGAGTTCTCTGAAAGATGTTGGCATGCTGCTGTGGCAACTCTTCGCAAATGGCGCACTACGCCAAGGATCATGATTTCCCAGTACAAATGATGGCGGAAGTCAATATCAATCGTGAAACTATCTGCTTCATTGTGACTAAGGGTTTGGGAAAGCGCAAGGTATGTTCTATTCTCGTGTCCCACCACTTGACATCGCAAGAAAATCAGATATGGATGGAGGATTGTGAAGACTTCTTCAACACGGAGATTCAGAGCCCAAACTTCATGAAATGCATCATTGCAGGCAATGAAAGCTCTTTGAAATACGATAAATTATTTGAATTAAAATCAAATACAGTAGACCCCTATAACACGGTTTCCTACAATGCGGATTTCTATAACGCGGCGAAAAAATTGCGACAGTATTCGTATAAAGACGCTGTAAGGGACTCCTAGAACGCGGTAAAAGGTCATCGCCGACTCGTGTCGTGACAGGATTGGTCGAATCTGGACCAATAGTGGACGAGCTGCCGAACTACTTTCCATCGCCAACGCCATTCTACAGAGAGTTTAGGCGAGTAAGTTGAGTTTACTATCGTCTGTACATTATTATATATAAATTATATATAAATTAGGTACTGTATATATAATTATATATTAACTTAATTTATTTTAACTTTACTATAATTATATATATACTCTCCGCCGTCTAGCGCCACGCTACGGAGAGTTTAGGCGGGTAAGTTGAGTTTACTATCGTCTGTACAGTATGTAAATTAGGTACCGTAAGTCTAATACGGCGCTGTAATTTTATACATTTCTTGTAAAAGAAACATTTTTTATTCAATGGCCATAAAAATTATTTCTATTAATAATGTCTCCAAAGTTCAACGAATTTATCGCAGAAAAATAACTTATCAGAAATCGCGGCCGCCGTGTGGTGCGCTGCTCCGCGACGAAAACAAGTTTAAGCACTCGGTAAGTAATCCTACAATTTTTTGTTTGTGACATAGTTTATACCGATTATTTCCAAAAAATTATACGTGTTTTGGAAATATTGAGTCGAATTAGTCTAGAATCGATTAATTTTATGGAAGAAAACCTTTCAAACAGCCGTAGTCCGTAAACTTCACACGTGTCGGACTGCGATTGGCTCATGTATTTAAGGATTCCTACAACGCGAAATTCTTATAAAGCGGAACGTATCTACCGCGTTATAGGGGGTCGACTGTACATACGTAGTTCCAGTTCGGACCGAAAATTCATATGAAGTTGTCGTAGGGGAATCCTGTCCCTAAGTCTTCCATATCTGTCTCGAATTTCATCTACCTAACTCCGTTTTCAAGATTAATTTAAGGAAGGACAGGCAGGCAAATAGCTTGACCAAAATTTTTTCCAAATGAAAGAAAAATTCGAGAAACGCCAGAGCCAAATATCGTATTTACATCTGCAAAAACATTGTCAGCAGAGTTAGATTATTTCCGATAAGTAAGGAATGAAGTTTACATTTAGAATGGAGAACCAGAATAAACTCCAATAAGAAGCTGACGTAAAATTCTCCACTTGTCACCAAGGAGGTTCGTTTAGTTAATAAAGTTGAATTTTCTGATCCATCTCGAGTCAATCATCGTGTAGAGTCCATTGTAGTCATCCTTTGACGAAATCCATTTCAGTTGTTCATCTTTGACGCTCGTCCCGCTTCAACCCATTTATTTCTAGCCTTCGGATACGTCAGTTGTCTTATTTTTGGCATTCAGTTCGTTAGAATACTGTGTTAAAAGTGTAGTCCGTAATCACCATGAATCGTCCCGAGAAGACCACAAGTGACTCCTGCAAGATCATCTCTACCGAACATCTTTTCGCAATGTAAACTGAATGCATATTATGTAAGCCAAACTGTGTAAATTTTGACTGCAGTTGCAAAAACTAAACTCTGTTAAATCTAAAAAGTGCTCCTATTTGATCTTCTGCGCCAGTTTCATTTAATAGTATCTTCCTCTCTCTTACCTCATATGGTTTCTTACCATGGTGTCTATAGGCAGACATCAATAGATCCCGATTTTAAATCCACAGCCACTCGGAAAAGTTGAAATTATGAAGTTCGCTTCATCTGGAGATAGAATTACTAAAGAATAATATCTCCTGCTCTTAGCCAGACACATAAATACCAGACACTTTTATAATATTACTCTAAAAATTTCTTGAAACAGCTGTCTACCCATCGATTTTGATGCGCTTGTTTAGACTGAGACTACAATGAAAACCAGTGAATACTATGAGTGAATTGGGCACAAATCGGAATCTCTTTCCTTATTTTGTGTATCTCTATTCATGTACAATTTAGTACTTGTGCCGCTTTTGCGAAAAACTTATTAAATTTGGCCCCTACACTGACTTTGTTGTATACATTTTTTATATAACCAAACTATAATTCCGCATTTTGGCAAAACCATACTTATCTACGGGGATGGGGAGTCCGCGGAAACAATACAGAGTCGTCTTCCGACTCGCTATTGTTTAAAATCGATTCCGGACTCCCATAAAAAGATTTGACTCCTCTACTCCCAACTCCGATTATGATGTATTCCTGCTTATCTGTCAAATACTTAGTTATAACTAGATATTAAATCACACCTTACCACTGGAGTATTTAAATTTCTTTACTAAACGTTTTTCGGTTCTATTTATAAGCCTTCGTCAGGTAAATTGTGTTCGAATTCCGAACAACATCGAACATTTCTTCAAAAATTCAAGACGGGTATCTTAAATAGACTATTCAGAACTGTAGTAGTGATTATCAGATCTCCATAATGAGGGTGCTAGTGTTCAGATTCATTAAGTAGAATAAACCATAAATTTTAAAAATTGATAGGAATGTTTCTATACATATGGCATAAATTTTGGTGGTTAAAGGTTAAGGTGGTGGGAAGAGGGGAGAATCTTGTGTCATATATCGAATTGTATCGGACTTAACGAACATTTTACTCGTTATTGGCATTTACACTTTGAAAGAAAAAAAACTCATCTCTAGCGTAAAACTTAATCCTTTTGACTTTATATAATAATTAATAATACACACACACACACACAATTTATACATTATTATTTATGAAGAATAGATGAAATTAAAAATAATACACACCTACAACCATTAATGTAAACTCAAATCCTCTTTTGACTGCTTTACGATAGACTTGAT